CTGTCAGTCAAATTATTTCTAGATGCCATTGGTCCTAAACCAGTTTCACTTTGTGTACCAATTTTTTGTCCTTTAAAATGCTCAGTGTAAGACACCAGATACCTTCTGTACAAATTCCAGCTACAAATACTGGCTTTCTCCTAGTCTGGAAGTTTGCTCTGTTGAAACTCCGAGCTCAGCCTGCCCTTCAGACAGCTTGAGGCCTTTTTCTTTCTCAATATTCCCTTTGTATCTTGTCCTCTTCTAATATTCTCCCAGTTTTGTGAGTTGAGGGTGTAGGACTTTCCTCAGAGCACTTTTATAACCCAGGAACCCAAAGCTCTGCTGACGTACCTTGCAGTTATCCATTCCATTTTCAGAGCTGCCGTCCAAACGGCCATCTCTGTCCCTTCAGTGCTGTAGAGTTCTGCTGCTGATGGGTTGATTTGAATCTGGTGGAAAAATCCATAGGGATGCGAAAGGGAAGGATCCCAGTCTCTCCTTTTCCTACCCAAAGATGGTACTTCACATCGATATTGAGTGTTAGGACACCCATTTTGTTTTGGCACGTGTTGAAGTAAAACGTCGCCTTGACTCGTTGTTGTGACCCTGGAGCTGTAGAGGTTAGAGCTTGAGCTAATTGCTGCTTTCTGCTAGCAAAAAGTTCTGTGTTTTCCAGTAGCTGAGTTGCAAATGGATGTGTGCGGGGTCCTGCGCTTCACCTCCTGGGCAGAGTCCCAAGAAGCCTCATCTCTAACACAAAACAAAGATGTTTGTCTCTCAGTAGGCAGAGGTGTGTGCAGAAGGGCAGGGGCTGCAGGGGAGAACATTGAAGCATCGGTACTACAGAAATGTGTCCTGCCTGCCCTGGCCTTTCTGGCTCTGTCTGAGGTCCCCCCTCACCTAACACGGGTAGTTACTGTAGGGTCCTTCAACAGCAAAGTGGTTCTGTTTAAAACTTGGAGTGAATATTTTATTTTTGAGCAAGACAGTCCTCAGAAAGTGCCTTTTTAGAAGATGGTGCTGTAGATTTTATTTTCCAGTTGTACGTGGCTGAACATTTAAGATAAATAACTGAAAATGCCAAGTGTTTGACGGTACCTTCAGGTACTTTCATGCATCAGTTCTCTGAGTCAGGACCAAGCATAAGCAGGATGGTGGTTTCCTTTGGAGGGAAAGGCATTGGGGAGCAATCACCAAATGCTGCTGGGGAGGAGCAGCTCCAATCCTTCTCCGTGTATTTTGCCCATTCACAGTGAGGGGAAGGGCAGCAGCATGGGATGCCATGGCTGGAAGATGCTGTCCCCTAGGGATTACAAACTCCCAAGGACAAAGCAGACATCTGGAGATGTAGGGATGGTCAGTGCTGCAAGCAGGTGTCGTGTGGGTTGTGTTCCTAAAGCTGTGCGTTTGTGCTTGGGACTTGTCATTCCCAGCTGGGGGAGAGATGCTGTGAGCCCTGCTCAGAGGGCTGGCAGTGCTGTGGGTCCGTGGTGAGCATTCCTCCCATTGGGAAAAGCTGTCAGCTAGACTATTAGCCACTGCACCTCAGTAACCTTGTAATGCTGCATTAAGTAATAATAGCAAAGTTCTGCTTTGATGACACTGTCATGTGCTTGCACATGCCTGCAAAAAATACCCTCTTTCATTTTTGTAATGCTCTCAGTTGCGGTTACCTGCCTGCTCCCTGGTGAACCGCGTCCTTTCTGGGGTGTTTGTGTGTTGGTGGTCTGTGTGTCCCCTCTGCGTGTTGCTTTTGGCTCTTATTTTTAGGTGGGAAACGTCTCAATGTGTTTTTTTTTTTTCTTCTCTGAAGTCAGCTCAGCTCTTAAGATGCGTTTGAGAAGAGAGCGAACAGAACAACTCAGTAGACGGGCTGCAGAAAGGGGTGCTTTGGTTTTAAGTTGGCTGTTAACATGAATTTGTGCTCACTTCAGTCACTGTTGATGCAGTATTGGGTGCTGCAGATGTCAGGATGGTTTTCAGTATCAGCTGAAGCTTAAAATTCTGCTTTGATTGGGAGCAGTACTGCTGCAGGTGTACGCTCATACCCAAGCATTTCCTAGGAGTGAGCAGAGCTGCTTCACGTCTATTGAGCAGAACAGGAGCCAGGAAATGTTTGGGTATGCAGTCCTGCAGTGGGGCAGTGCCATGCTGGGGCTGTGACACCGCTGTGCTTCACATCCATGGCAAAACTGTTGTGTGCACTGCCCCAGGCTGGACACGAGAGCATCGCTTCTCCTTCTGGCTGAAGTTAAAGGCAGCAGTGTTCCTTTTTGTTCAGCAGCTTTGTTTTAGAACAGCACTCAGTGCTGCTTCCATGGTATTTAAGCTTGCAGTGATTTGTTCCCGATTTCTTACTGCTGTTTAGCTGGGATTTGGAAAGCATTTTGTCAGCCTAGGTTCTGAGCCTGCTTTCTGTAGTTTTTTAGACTAAAAAGGGCCAAAAATCTCGTTCCATCATTGTTTGCAGCAATGCTCTCCATCTCTTCCCCTGCCTATGAACCAGATTATTTTCTATCTGTGCTTAGCCAGTACTGAAGCTGTTGAGATGTGTGCATTCCTCTCTCTTCTTTCTATACATTACAAACGTGATCAAAAGCAATGAAATGGACAGAGCTGTGTCTGAGGGTGCTGGTTCCTGTTGGGTGCAGATCCCTGCTGAGATGGGCTGTAGCACACAAGGGTTAACTGCAATAGCAGTGTCTGTGTATTGCAGGGGGTGTGGTGTGTTAAAGCATCCAGCTGAAGTACAAGCCAGTTGCTGAAGGTGTAGATACTGAAGAGGCAAACTTGTTTAAAAATGAAAACGACATCATTCTTCTTGGCAAAGTTTCTATAATCAATGCTACTCATAGTAAAACGTGCTGTGCTGGGGTTAATCCGAAGCTGAACTGACTCAGCTGTATGTTTTATGAAGAGGAGGAGGAGTAGAGATGGTGACTGTGCTGTCAAACCAATAGCAAACAGCTGGGGAGGCAGGAGGGAGAGCAGACTGTACTGAAAAGCTCTAATGCTGCTGGAGCCATCTGAACTTGTCCCTTTGCACCCACAGTTGACTCGACCCCCCACAAGTAACGACTGCAAAAACTAAGAGATGAGGAGAAAGCTTTTTTCCTGTATTTTGGGAAGCAAGAGTGCCTGTTCACCTCTGCTGAGCAGCAGTGGCAGTGCCTGCAGCAGCCGTGTCGCTCAGTCCCATCATCTGCGTTCTCTAAATCCCAAAGCAGCCTTTCCTGGTTCAAAACAGAGGGATTCAGGAGGTGGGTGGTGTTCCAAACAGCAGAGCCATGGGGTTCTGTGAGCAGTTTGTGACCCTTTTACAAAACACAGATGCTCCAATGGATTTCTGGCTGGTTTGGGTGGTTGGTGCAGAAGCCACTGTACCATGTTAGCCACTCCCATGTTAGCTTTGGTGTCCTGGGCTGCTTGGGTCAGACTTGAACTCGTTGAGAGCAAGCATGTGCCTTTTTCTGATCCGAGACAGAAGCTGGAGGAGCTGGCAATTTGCACTGGTTGATAGTGGGGTCAGTGTTCTTCTTGAGCTGCTTTTAAGGCTTGGTCAGGATGGAGTTGGTTTTGTGTTGAGTTACTTAAAGGAAGCCCTGAATTATTTGTGAATGTAGCTACCCAGAGAAAAGAGGCTTTAAAGTAAATGGTTTCTGGAGAGTAATGTCATCAAACAAACATATTTCCTGGCAGACTTGCATTTTTTTTTTTTTAAATAAGATTTAACACTGATAGAGAACCATGAATTCTGCCTTTATTTGAATGTTGCCTGTCCCATAACGTCTCTGCTGTGCTCCTGCAGCTTCCCTGCTGACTGTAAGGACACGAGGAATGTTGTTGGCGGAGGTTGGGAAGTGGGGACGTGGTGCTGAGGGCTGAACATGACTGAAGGTGACTCTTTAAGGAGCAGCTGAGGGTGCTGATGTGAGCACAGCGCTGTGGTGTCTGGGATAGCAGGGCTCAGCGAAGCGGTGAGGGGAGAAATGAGCCTCTCCTCTCACACCCAGGTGTGCAGTGAAGGCTGCTGGGTGCCTTAGGTGCTGGTTCAGGCTGCAGGCTGTGAGTGTGGATTGTCAGAGAATAACAAAAGAGCTTTTCAAGTTGTTTTATGCAGTGTTGAGTATTGGAGGGTTATCCAGCCAGCAGCTCCGGCATCGGCGCTGGCTCTGAGATGGGATCCCTCCCTGATTTCAGGGAATTGATTTTTGCCTCAGCTTTCTGCCCTATCTAGAACACACAGAGGATGACATGCATTGCCTTATGAGAGCCAGCTGCTGTGTGTTCTGAGGATCAGCCATGCTGTAAAGTGCTGAATTCCTGATACAAACCTGTGCGCCTTCTTGCCAGTCGCTGTTTGAAGTCTGTCCATCCAGCACAGCCTGTGCCCTTTGCTTTGTCTCAGCACAGCTGGCCCAAGTTGCTCCTTGGGCTCGGTCCCACCGTGTACACTGCTGCTTTCTGTGATCTTTTGTTGCAAAATAGGGATGAGTTGATTCAAATAAAAGGTTTTCTTTACATTGCTGAGAATCTCAGAGGTCTTTCAAACACATTTTTAACAGTTGAAAAACGAATCCCTACCGTAATACTCTCCAACAACACAGAAATATGATTATCTTGAGATGATCTCACCTGAATCGTGGGTCCACAACCAATTTTGATACAGTTGTGCAAAAATTAGGCATTAAAATAGTTACTAATCATCTTTCATAGTGCTAATACTTGCAAATCTCTTGAGTGGTGCATTCAGAAAGTTTGTTTGGGCATCTCACAGGTTAGTGCTTGCTCCGCTCAGCTGCCAAGCATTACCCACTGGAGCAGTGCTACAGCTAAGGAACCT